CCATGCACTGTACTAACTGCTTGACATGTCATTTAATCCTCTCAACAACCTTACTATTCTTCTCACCATTTTTTAATGATGAAGGAAAATTAAGTAGCTCACCTGAGTTTATATAGCTCATATATTTTGAATCTGGTAAGCAGTCTGACTTAAAAGCTGTAATATGTTCTGCCCAAGGATTTGGAACACATACAAAAATAATATTTAAACAGTGCTGTTCTCATGGTATGGTATGTTGGTGGCACAGAGGTGGGAATAATTGGTTCTATAAGGATGTAATCTGAGAAAATAGTGGGGAAGATCTTTAAATTGAACTTTGAAGTAAATATAGAAATTCTAGGCAGGAGGGATGAGGGAAGAACAATGGCATTTCAAGAACAGAGAAAAATATATACAGGGCACAGTTTTCCAGGAACTGCTTGGCATGGCTGGAATGTAGAATATGAAGTGTAGAGAGCTTTGGGTGCAGGTGGGGTATGAAGTAGGTAACAGTCATGCAGCAAAGGGCCTGTATTTATTGTTAAAATGTTTAGACATCTTTTATCCAGGTTGAAACAGGAAAAGGTTTTAAGCATTTTGTAAAGATCACACTTGATTTTTTTTTTTTTTTTTTTTTTTTTTTTTTTTTTTTTTTTGCCTTGGAGGTAGGCAGCTGAGGGTTGGAATAATATTACTGAAACACAAATTATTGTGCAGAGCTGCTGATTTGTAGCTAAATTAATGGTGGGTTGTGTTTACATTGTTTTTAATGAAGCTTTATGCAAGTAGCATTTTATAAGACCATCAATTTTAGACACCTATAAGTATAATCTCTTAAATATATCTAATAACCCTTAAATGATGAGTGTCTTATATTCTCAACATACTATTTATAAATTGTTATGCATATTGTTACATATAATAGGTTTTGCTTAGCTAGTTTTCTAAAAACATTGTCATTACATATGTATTAGTGATAATTCATGTCTAAACAAACATGTTACTGACTGAACGTTTTCTAAAACATATGATTTTCAACTATGTTAGTAGACTTATATTCTACTTCTCAAATACCAGTGCCAGAATTTCTGCTTAAGTAGATAGTTACCAATGTGCTGCTTTGCATTTTTAATCCAAAAGAGAACAGAGCCCTTGAAACTTAGCTCATCTGAAATAAGTGCTCTACGTGTAAAATACACATAAGATTTCAAAGAATTTATATTTTAAAAATGTAAAACGTATTCTGTCTCCTTCTCTTTCTGCCCCTCCCCACTCGCATTGTCTCTGTCTCTGTCAAAATAAATAAATAAACTTTAAAAATTAAAAAAAAA